GCTGCACTTTGACTTGATTTTAAACTTAAGGAACAAGAACAAAGTACCAGAAAGGTTCTGGTCATTTACATTGAAAGCTATCCCTCAGAACCCTCATGACATTACAGTAGAACTGATGCCTGGACATTGAGGGAAGAACAACCTCGTGAATGTCTCAAATAATATTAGCATGGCCCTGGACACGCTCTTGACTTTATGCGCCACCTTTGGGGGAAAACAGCTGGAGGCACGCCTCTCAACACCAACGATAATCCTTCACACATATGTGGGTTGTTTTGAAAGAGACGCTTACTTTTGCTCTCGGTCACGTTTTGAGGTTCAGAGTGCACAGTGCTATTTTACATCGTTTTCTAATAGTCATAATGGGACTTCCAAGAAACCCTGAGATTCAAAACCTTAATCTGTAGCCCTGAGATTCCCAGGAGAGTATCTGAAAGAAGAAAATGGTCACATTTAAATCAGGTAAAGGTTAGATCTTGTATGGCCCAGACTATGTGATATGTCACATTTTCGAATACACTACACTAAAATATTGGGCCACACCTCTTAATCTTTGAATTCAGGTGTTTTTAGGCCTTTATATCCTTATATCTGCACAAAGTCAAACACTGAGCAATGCAATCTTCCTTTATAAACATTTATGAATAAATGGATTGTTGTAAAGAGTCTGGGATGCTACCGTTGCAAAAAGTCAGTTTGTGAAATTTCTTCCGTAAATAGTCCATGATCAGTGGTATTATTGCATCAACTGGAGCATTCTGCTAGTTTGTACAAGTAAGAGCACTAGCTACAAAATGACCTTGAGCTGGCCACTGGTATGAGTGATTGGTCACAGGCAGAACAATGTTTGCCAAACCTGCTATGACAATCAGAAACAGACTTGAAGAGGTTGGCCTGAGGCCCAGGCACTCTTAAGTGAGCGCTGTACTCGACGCCTGGCACCGTGGAGCCCAGTTGGTATTTGCCATAGAATGCAAGAATTGGCAGGTCCACCACTGGGTCCCTTTGTCTTTCACAGAGAGCAGGTTCATCCTGAGCACATGTGACAAACGTGGAAGGGTCTGGGGTAGTGATGGGTCGTTCGCGAACGAAATGGCTCTTAGAGCCG